AGTTTATTTCCAAAGGGGGGAGTTCAACCTGCATTGTGTCCACTGGGCCTGCATAATCTTCATCACACTGAAAAAGCTGTTTCCCTTGATATACCCCATCAGTGAAACCTTGACCATGACCTTCTTCCGCTGATGTGCGGGGCCCCGCACAGCCGAACCTGCTACCTGAGATATTTGGTTTAAATGGAGGCACCACCTGCTTTTGTTCCATCATGTCCCAGTCCACATTTTGAAAGAATGGATGCTCCTGAGTATCACCAAAGCCCCTGTGAGGACGACAACCCAGTCGTTCTTTTGGGTATTTGTTTAGAAAATCCTTTTTCACTGCTTTCATGGTATACATACAATTTGATTCTTTCTGTTGGACTAACAGTTCTTTCCCATAACTTCCTCTGCCATTCACTCGGAGCAAATCAAAGTCCTCAAACCCTAAGCCAGATGAAGCTTTGCCACTTTCCCCAGTGTTCCCTGCCTCATTCTTTTCATCAACTTGTTCTAAAGTCTCATGAGTTGAAAGGTTATGTGGGATCGCTGTGTGTGCAGGGTCTGAAGCCAAGGATGATGGATCGACTGGCATCGTGGGCTCTGATGGTAAAGAACACTGCCCACATTCAATTGTAATATGTTTGTGGCACTTCTTGTGAACTGGGAGTTTACAGTTGGTGCACTTATACACCTGGTGGCCAAGTCCCCCTACACAGTCTGTACAGACAGCACAGTGAGCTCGCCTGCTGAAGCGTGTGGCCTGAAAAGTGTGGCCATTCACATAATACAGATTTCTCCAGCAGCCTGCAGCTCTGTGGTGGATGGATTGCTCTTCTGGACAAGGCACTTTAGGATGCTCTGGTATAGAAGGCGATGAATGAATTAAAAGCTCAGAATCTTTCTTTAGCTTAGAAACCCTAATGGCCTCTTCTAACTCCAACTGAGGTGACACAGTGTCTGGGTCTCCTCCTTCCTCTACCCAGTCTGTGGTGAAAAGATGTTTATTGTCCAAACACCACACATCTTGATCTTTATCACACAGGCCCTCAAAGGGGATGGAATTCTCAAGTGATCTTGTCATGATGTCCCTTCCCAAAATCAGGGCCGATCGGGTAGAGGTGTGGGTGGCGGAGGTGCCTGGGAAGAAGGGACCATAGACGGGTTGGTTGCCCAGGGAAACAGGCAGGCAGGGCTCAGAGAACGAGAGCGGTCTGACTGACTGCAGGGACCACACTGGCCAGGATTCTGCAAGGCTCTCTGTGAAGCTGTTTCCAATAATGCCGGCCAGGCCTGGACGGATGTACACCAGGCTTCTCAGTGTCTCTCGGGGGCCAGTGGCTGTGACTTTGGTCTCCCCCCCTGGACTTTGACTCTCTAGGTTTTTTGTGCCCAGCTCTGGGGAGACCTGCCCAGAGCTACTGCATGTTTCTGGGCCTGGTGATACTTGCCCCACACTCGTCCCAGTTTCTGTGCCATTATTTAGGCTTAGGGAGACTTCACTGGGGTACCTTGATTTTGGTAGATCACTGGTGCTCACTCCCGGGGAGACCGTCCCTGGGGTGTCTGTGACAGTCGTGCAGCTGCTGCAGCATGGCCTGCGGCATCTGGATGGAGTCAGCCGTCTTCTTATTCTTTCACAGATACATTCTCTACCTGGGGTCTTGAGGCTGCGGCCTTTCGAAGTGGAGAAGCAGCTCAGCACGTTCGCTGTTGACCGTCTCTGGCCAAGTGAGCTTGGGAGATGGCAGTTATAAGCCAGTAGCAAGAGTTCCAAGTTCTGTTTGGAGATGTTGCCAAGGAAGCGACCTCATGTCCTGGGGTGTCATAACCTGAGTCTCCACATAATAGAAAAGCCTATAGCCCTGTAGGGATAGAGACCCCTAGGCAGGGAGAGATGAGCCCCTCCCCAAAGGACTTCAGATAGCTGGCAGAACAGGCTTAACCACCCATAAAAAGCTGACAGTCTGCTGAGGATACACCTCCTCTTCATGCTGTACCCTGCAAAGCCTGGTTTGCTAAGATCAAAAGGAAAAAGCACCTTGGCCCTAAGATGTAAAAGGCCCCTGAAAAGACCCTTCCTTGTTGTCCCTAGTAATGAGCTAAGTTAATCATTAACCAATCAGGTAGGGTCTGCTCTAAATTTTCAGAATGAAAAGAAGCCCACTTTAAGCCAAATCTCACACCATACACAAGGGTAATTCAGAATGAAGCACAGATTTAAGAGGAAAGTATGAAACTTTGAGAAGGTAACAGAAGAGTTTATCTGCAGTACTAGGGCTAAGCAAAGAGTTATTGTCACAACACCAAAATCACAATCTGCACTTGATCTTAGCCAAAAGGCCAAGAAGTGATTCAAAATCACAATCTGTAAAATAGAAAGTTAATAAACTGAACCTCACCAAAGTTTAAAACTTTTGTGCTGTGAAAGATCCTGGTAAAGGAATGAAAACACCTCTACAAAGTGGAGTGAATATTTGCAAACCACATAGCCAACAAAGGTTCATATATAGAATTATAAAAGAACTATCAAAACTCAACAGAAAAAACCCCCAGAAAATCTAAATAAAACATGCACCCAAAACTTGGACAGATATTTCACCAGAGAGAAGATGTGGCTGTCAAATAGGTGCATGAAAAGATGTTCAACATCATTAGCCATTTGTCAAATGCAAATTAAAAATTAAAGCTACAATGAAGATAGCCCTATACAAGCTATTAATGGATAAAATAAAAATGATAATACCAAATGCTGATGAGGCTGTGAAGAATCTGACAGTCTGACACACTGCTCATGGAAATGTAAAATGGCACAACCACTCTGGAAAATACTTGAGCAGTTTCTTACAACACTAAACATGTAGTTACCATGTGACCCAGCAGTTGCTGTCCTGGATGTTTACCCCAGAAAAATAAACCTTGTTGTATTAGTCAGCTTTCTGTCTCTTCGGCCACATACCGGACACAGGCTATTTATGAAGCAAAGACGGGTATATTTTGGTTTCTGGTTCTGGAGGTCCAGGTCTAAGACCAGCTGTCCTCTTTGGTTTGGGCCTCAGAGAGGGAAGCACAATGTGACAGAAGCGTGCGTCGGAGGGAGAGAGTTCACCTCATGAGCCAGCAAGCAGAGAGGGTGAGAGAGAGCACCAAGGCCTCTCACTCTTTCCAGTGACCCTCCATCCATGACCTAAGGACCCCCACCACAGCTCCTAGTGGCGCCCCCCTGGGAAGCAAGCCTCTATACATAGACCTTTTGGGAGACACTGGTCCAACCACAGAACTTGTGTTCGCACGAGTTCACAGCACTTTCATTTATCATAGCAAGAAGAACTCCAGTGTCCTTCAAAGAGGACACAGCTGAACAAACTCCAGTAGATCTACACAATCAAATACTATTCAGCAGTAAAAAATGATGAATTAATAATATATGCAGCACACTGACTGGACCTCAGAAGTGCTAAGCTTAGTTTTAGAAGCCAATCCCCAAAGGTTATGAACTGTGGGGTGTGTGAGTCCCTTTATATCACTTTCTCTGAATGTGAAACCACTGGGGTGGGGCCCAAGCTAGGGGTTACCAGGGTCAGGCCTGGAGAGAAGGGGATGGATGAGCAAACACAGAGACAGCACTGGGGAACTGTTTCGTGGTGACAAAATAATTCTGTGAGTTTTTGGGTTTTGTTTTGTTTTTTTTGTACCGGAGATCGAACTCAGGGCCTTGAGCTTGTGAGGCAGGCGGTGGAACCACTGAGTTAAATCTCCAGCCCTAATTCTGTGTTTTGATTGTGATGGTCATAAAAATCTACACCTGTGGTACAATTACCCAGACACACACACACACACACACACACAGTGAATGTAGGTTTTTAAATGAAAATAAAATAAAATCTGTAATCTAACAATTAACTGTCCATTTTTCTTTTTAAAAATCTTTCCTACAGTTACATAAGATTAAGTCTCATTATGGGGGACACAGAAGATCCTATTTTTGCATCTTCCTGTGAATCTACAACTATTTCAAAAGAAAATTTTTAAAAAAATTTTTTTTAAGGAATAAAGGTCTAAAAAAAGATGAAAGAAGAAAAGCAGCTTTGCAAAGGCCTTCCGGTTGCAGGAGGTAGTTCTCTTTGGCCCCTGCTGTCTTATAACCTAATTCTCTTCCTTCCTCTCAGGCATACAACATATCTTTTTGCAAGGGTTCCAGCGGACCAGAAGATGCCTTAGACCGGGACAGACACACAAGTAGCACCAACGTAGCTGAAGGAGCCTCCACATAGCTTTCCTGACTCTCCAAGTGTTAACACTGTAAGCCCCTGGCTTTATCATGCGAAATCTGTTTACCTCTGTGTGTCACCGCCTCCGAACCACTTGAGAGCCAGCCGCAGACACCCAGAGCCTTTGCCTCCACTTCAGTGTGTTTCCTAAGAACATTGTCTCACAGTCACAGCAGAGTTCAACTGCAGTCATCTTAACACAGATTCAACACTTTGACCTTCCTTCTTCCACTTTTCTTCCATGGCCTGGGATCAGGTGCTGCACCTAGCTGTGTCTCTCTCTTGGGTTAATAGATATGGCTTTGGCAGCTGGCAATCCCTCCCCTCCAGGGGACCCCAGTTCCCTCCTGGGAGGCGGAGGGCAGCGACTGACCTGCACATCTCCGCGATCGGAGGCGCCCCGACCGTCCGTAAGAGCTGAGTGGCCAGTGTCCTTGTTCCTGCGGCGAGTGGGTTGCAGCGCTGGTGGCTTTGGTTTTCGCGCGCAGCCTGGGAAACGACTCAGGGCCGGCCGAGGGAGGCGCCCCGAGGAAGGCGAGGAGGCCGGGAAGGAAGGGCTGATCTCCCGGGCGGGCGGAGCGGAGCTGGACCGCAGGAGGCCCGGCCTTTGCGCGGGGTCACCGGGAGCGCGGGGCAGCCAATCGGCGGCGAGGCCCGGTCCCCGCAGCCAATGGGAAGGCGGCGCGGCGCGCTCCCCGGCTATAAGGGTGCGCGGGCGAAGCAAAGCGAAAGTGGCCGCCGCGAACCGAGCCGCAGGGATGCTCCGGGCGCCGCCGGAGCCGCGACCGGGGGAGGCGGAGGCGGAGGCGGAGGCGGAGGCGGAGGCGGCCGGCTGCAGCCCCCGGGCCGCGCGGCCGACCGCGTCCAAGCGCCTCACCTCCTTCTTCATCCAGGACATCCTGCGGGACGGCGCAGAGCGGCGCGGCGGCCACCCCGGGCGCCCGCAGCCCCTGCGCCAGTCGGACCCGCGGCGGGACCCCGCGCCCGAGCCCGGGGGAAGACGAGGCAGAGCCGAGGCGCCCGGGGAGGCAGAGACGCTGGCGGAGGCCGGACCAGGTAAGGAAGGCGGCGGGGCCCAGGCGCGCCTCCTGGAGCTCGGGGTGCAGGGGTGCGGGCCCCGGTGACAGAAGAGACCCCGAGTCCCAGCGCAGGGCGGCGCACGATTGTGACACCGGCTTGACTTGCCCGGTGGGTGCCCTCGGAGAAATAATAATAACTTATTACGATTAATAAACGAGGTTTGGCCATCTAAGGCTCCCTGGGCATCTCCATCCCCGGATCTGTAAATCGCACACTTGTGTGTTCCTTTCGGTCTCCAGGGGGAAGACACCGCTGGAACGCTTGGCCCAGGCTTAGTCTCTGCCCATCCCTTCCTAGGCGGCAGCCTAACGCCTCATTGAGAGAGAAGGGGATTAAGCCAGAGAGCGAACTTGCCATTAGCCCTGGCCGCCTCCCGGTCGCACAAGCCCTCTCTTGCCCACCCGGATGCTCGCGCCGGATGCCTTTTGAGAGAGCGTTATTCCCGAGCCCCCCAGCTCTCCCTCGCATCCCTAAAGTACACAGATCCCCCTTTAATTGTACTCGACCGTATGGCCTAAAGTCCACCACACTGGACGCCTGTGATTTCGGGTTCCTGCTGATTATTAGAAAACCAATACCTAGTACTCGGGGCTAGTCCTTCCTCCCTATGTAGAGCTCCTTAGCCATGCGAAAAAAGAGAAATGTATCCAAGCTAACAGTGGGCTGTTTGTTCATCCTCTGAAGAGATAAGGGCGGATTGAATGCTGCGCTCACATGTAACTCTTCTTGCACCCGCCTCTGCCCTCTGTTTTCCAGATAGGCACTTCGAAACTTATCTTTTGGACTGTGAGCCCTCTCCTGGCGCCTTACCAAGCCTTCCCCAGACACCCAAGCAGACGCAGAAGCGCTCCCGGGCCGCCTTCTCCCACACTCAAGTCATCGAGTTAGAGAGGAAGTTCAGCCACCAGAAGTACCTGTCGGCCCCCGAAAGGGCCCACCTGGCCAAGAACCTCAAGCTCACTGAGACCCAAGTGAAAATATGGTTCCAGAACAGACGCTATAAGACTAAGCGGAAGCAGCTGTCCTCGGACCTGGGGGACCTGGAGAAGCACTCCTCCCCGCCAGGCCCGAGGGACGACGCCCTCTCCCGGGCCTCTCTGGTCTCCGTGTACAACAGCTACCCTTACTACCCCTACCTTTACTGTCTGGGCGGCTGGAGCCCCGCTTTCTGGTAATGCAGCTCAGATGTCAACCTTGTGTGGTGGGAAATTGCCTTCCCCAGGGCAGGAGAGACGGAGGTCGGGAGTGCTGAGGACAGAGAGGTGTACACATCCAAGCTGTTGGAGGTTTGTAAGGAAATCTGCACTGGTGAGCCAATGAAAGACTAGTTTAATATCTAAACAGTTCCCCCAGTGCATACTGTAGGGCATTGTTGCTTTCAGCACCCTGTAGGAAGGGGAGAGGGAGATGGTCAGGTGCTGTTTACAGCACTTTGCACAGCTTTGGATGAGCTGTTGGAACTGCTCCTCAGGATTCCGCCCCTGCAGCTCCTTCCTCTTTGGGTAACCCAGCGTGACCTTGGAAAGGGCCAACCTAAAGTGAGAGAAGATGTTGCCTACCGAATTAAACTGAAGTTCAAAGCCCTCTTGTTGGCCTTGGGATATGGCCAAGGTCTCTCTGTGTCCCTGTAAAAATGAGGGCACATAAGGGTTTCAAAGAACCGCTCTGGGCATTTGGCATGGGACATGGGCAGTGGGGAGGGGTGAAAACATCAGCTGCTCGTTCCTTTTCCAAAAGTGTGCTCCTTTACGTGTTTACTGGGTGGCCTCAGAAGAACAAGGTGCACTCACCGTGGTTTTTAAGACACGCTGTATAAACAGGACCATACTGCAAGGAGTAGGGGCCTGCTAGAAGCTTCTGCTTGTCCAAGACAGAAGCCTAAAGAGCAGGGTTCCTCCACACTCCTTGCTAGGCCATTGCCTTGTTTATTACCAAAAAGTGGAGAGGCCTCTGCTAACCTTTTCTACCCTGGTGGGAGAATTTAGAATCAGAAGTTCCAGGAGTATTCAGGCTAGAATTTGTATTGCATTATGAAAGAGATGGCATATGGGGGGGGGTACGTTTCTTTCTTTCCTCTTTTATTTTTTGTTCTTTGTCTACAGCAATCAACAGAAGGACCTCCTTTCAGTCCAGGCTTTTAGTCTGGCTATACCTAACTTTTACCTTTCTTATTTACCCTGAGATTTGATCTTTTTCCTTTTCCTCCCTCTACCTCCAGCTGATGTTTCATGGGTTAAAAAAAAAAAAAAAAGCAGAGAGGTAGATTCGGAATTAGCCAAAAGACAAAATTTTTTAAAAACTAGCAACTCTTAATTCTTTCCCTTAAAAATATACAGCATTAAATCCCTCTTTAAAGACCTGACAGCTCCAGAAGCTCGCTGCTGCTTTATCTGGTGGTTCTGTTGCTAGAATGCAAAGTCCATCGAGTCTTGGAGATCCCTGCAGGTGGAGGAGGTAAGAGGTCTCGGGGTTTCCACACGGAAGGAAGAACACAGCACCCATGAAGGACAGGCAGCACTGAGCTGCTCAGGGAAAGCGGTGGGCTCCCAGGTGGGGCATGGAAGTAAAGGCAGCCAGCCAGGCCACTGAGAAAGCAGAGCGGCCGATGCACTTGGCAGGAAGAGACTGAGAGGAAGGAAATTGTTTATAAAGCACTGTTTTACTATGGCTTCTGTCACCAGAAAAACAAACTGTCTAAATGCTAGGGGAGCTGTGTTCAGACTCCATGATGTGACTTCTGAGAGAATGAGCAGCGAGCAAAGGAGAAATTTACCTCTACCCTTCTACCTGATTATCTCAGTTGAACTGGTAGCAGCAGAGCCATCAGGTGTGTGCCTAAGGGGAGGGGCATGACTATTACTGGAAAGTCTTTTGATTCCACTACTTATTTCTGTGCAGTGAGAAACCTCTGAATTTCCTCCTATTAAAAGGGCCAATTCACGATTGGTGGCCAAAGTGAGTTGATAGAAAGTTGGCTGGTTTCACCCCATTTTTCTATGGTGTGAGCTGCACATTGAGATATTGTTCAAGGCCACAGGTGGTGTCCCCCACAACAGAGCTAGATGACCCAAAGGGCAGAGGAGCCCACATTCTTCTCCTTTTGCTACGGCTTCTAAGATAAGTGTGCAGTGCTCGCTCCTACCCAGTACTCTTTTCTCTTCCCACCCTCTGAATTGAATTCTTTCAACCTGAGCTTCTGCAAGGATTAAACATTGTCTGTAATAAATACACTGTGTTGCAAAGAAAGTTTCTGCTTAAAATTTTGTATTCATCTTGCCCCTCCTCCAACCTGGAGCAAGTCATTCACCCACCCTGGACCTGGGAGAAAAACATTTCCAGAATTAATCTGCTGGTCTTCAGCAAGTGACCAGGACAGTACTCCAGACCGTTTTACCTGGATACCCGTTTCTATCCTGTTTAATAAATTAATTAACAGACCCTGTTGTGATCTGTAACGTAAAAATTTGTGACTTGAAGTTTACTAAAATGTCCCAAGCTTTATTTTTCTATGTATTTTTTGCAACATATGAGCATTTTAATAATAAAGTCTCTATGTGTTTGTTAGAGATATCCGTGTGTGATTTTCAGACTCCGAAAGATTCCTTGCTATTTAACTTACATATTTCTGGTTACTGTCTCCTCTTACCCTCAGCAGCCTGACAGACCTGTAGCCACCAAAGCATCAAAAGCAGCAGCTTAGCTGGTAGCTAATGAACAAAGGCCATCAGGTATTTACCTGTGTTTCTATAAGATCACAAAGGAAACGTGGAGACCACGCACTTTTTCATTTAAAAAGTCCCCTTTCAGGTCCTGTCAGCACCTCACACCACATCTTTTCTGTTCCTCTCACTCCCATGTCTCGCTAAAAAGTGTTATCCGCACCCAAAGCCAATAGACCTCTTGCAAGCGACACCTTTTAATTAAATCACAAGCATTGGAAATAAGATTTATTATTGTATTAAAATATATACATACCACATCCTTCATCTCCCTGTGCTTAAGCCTTCATTAAATCCCACAACCAGTGTCTCGTGCACCTGATTACCTGGGAGAACTGATGGTTTTTTCTCCCCTGCCTCTTAAAGGAAATAGAAGCTTAAAGAATAAGGTGCTTACTTTAGGTAAAACATATCATAATTTCAAAGTGTGCTCTAATCCTTTAAGTACATTGTACACACAGGTGGGGCTTCTCATAGCACGCTCACATCATGAGGTTTAATTCTTTGCACAAGTCTCTAGCTACCTCCCTCCCTGGAAGGCCATTAGCTCTCCAATTACAAAGGCTCTTGCAGTAAATTAACAGATGTGGATTTTTTGAGTAGGGAGGAGAGGAACCATTTAAAAGTAACTAATCCAGGAAATTAAACAAAAGTCTCTCATCTCTTTAGAAAGCCCCCTCTGCCTCCTCTTTTTTGCCCCTTTTCCAACTTACCCTGACATCTCTGCTAATCTCACACCCATCTTCTCCCAGCAAGCCTCCTCAGAATGCCACATGCTCATGCTATTTAGAACTCCTTTTCAACCTGCTGCTCAAGTTGCTTCTGGTGTAATTTTCTAGCACCAGAGTTTTGTTACTTCTGCTACTGCTGCTCCTCCCCAGGACTCCCTTAGACTGCCAGAAAGGAAAATAAATGCCAGAGACTGACAAATTAAAATGTTTCCCTTCGAACCACAGAGCACATTATTTGTCTCAGGGAATATTAATATCATGCATCTCCAAGCTGGCCTCAGAGGGGACAGGGCCCACAGAGAGGAAGTCGCTTGGCTTGGGTGTCCAGGAAACAGAGCCCCGCGAGGGAGAGTCACTGCAGAACCTTTCCAAAGGTGCAAGTGAGGAAGGCAGCGTTGGGGAAAGACCAAAACTGATCCATAGCAGGCTTCAACTGAGGCCTAATTCAGTGCTTCAGGCAGCTTGAGATGTATGTCCTACTTGGAAGAAAGTGGGATGAGCATCAGCCACCCCCTAAAAGTGGGAGGCAACCTGGCCATTGCAGTTTTTTTGTGTGAAGGGCAATGGCCACTGGCCATGGAGGGACACAGATACACTAAGGTCCCCACCAGCTGCTGGTGGTGTGAGGTGTCAGCCCCCTTTGGGGAGACCCTGTGGAGCACCATGAAATCCACTCCAAGACACAGATAGGATTGTCTCCCTGGTCACTCTCAGGGCTATGGTCACCACCATTTGCTACCTTGGGAAATCTGAGTCCAGAGGAGCAGCACAGGCGTACAGCTCTGCGTTCTGACTCAGACATCCAGACTCTGCCCCTTCCGTGGCCAACGTGTCACCCGGACATGTTTTCCAAAGCAGAGAGTTATTTACTGCTTAAGAAAAAGGGCAGAAATGAGAGTCCTGGGACATGAGGGCTCCTAGTTTAGCCATAGACTTGGCTTCCCAGCAGACTTTCCCAGACAGAGTAGCCCGTGGAAAGGCTGATTTAAAGTCTGCAAGGAAAAGGTGAAGAATCCCATTTTCCAAGGTGTCTCCTGCCCTCACCTCTGCAAAGCCTCCAGGTGTGGTCTTGACTCCTTTCCTGAGCTTGCACTAGGGGTTAGGATAGAGATTTAGGGTAGATTCCCGGTGTATCCTCTTCTAACTGGGAAGTCTCCACCTCTTTCCAGTTTATTTATGAGGACAGCCCTCACTGGGGAGCTTATGGGAGAAAAGGTGGCACAGGGATAAGTCTCACTTCCTCATGGGAAAGAGACTCAGATGCTGGCTTGGTTTGGATGTAGTTTGTGCCCCAGAGGCTCAAATGCTGGGAGCTTGGGCCCCATGGGGTGGTGTCAAGTTGGTAGAATTGCTAAGAGGTAGGATTTAGTGGAAAGTAATTAACTCATGGGGGTTCCACCCTTAGGAATGCTTTCTCACGGGGGCGGATCTAGTCCCCGTGAGACTGGATTCTTTCCCCTGAGAATGGGTTGTTATAGAAGGGGGAACCTGGCCCCTCCCTAGTCTCTTCCTTCCTATCTTGCTCTGTGACATCTTACACATACTCCTGCCACACAATGCCATCTGCCATGTGTCCCTCACCAGAAGCCAAGCCTGGCACTATACTCTTGGGCCTCCAAAACTATGAGCCAAGTTAAACCTTTTTCCTTTACAAACCACCTAGCACTGAGTATTTTGTTATAGCAATGCCAAAAAGACTAAGAGAATACTTATATTTATTTAAAACCTAGAAATGCATGATGGTGGTTGGGAGAATAAATGCTGATTTTGCTTTCTTTTTTTGGTACCAGGGATAGAACTCAGGACCTTGCCCTTTCGAGGCAGGTGGCAGCACCACTGAACTAAATCCCCAGCCCCCTGATTTTGCTTTCTTAAAGGCAGAGGTCCAGCAGAATTTAGTCTCCAGTGCCGGTAGTGCCCACATTCTCATGCATTGGCAGGATGCCCCTTGATCCAGAACACATTAGCGTTTCTTGGGAAACTTTAGAAAAAACAGATGAAAGCCCAACCCCACTAACCATGCACTGTGCCATGATCTCTGGAAGTAGGGCTCAGGAGTCAGTATTTTCTTAATGTTGAAGCCCACAGTGACAAGTCACTTGCTTAGTGACTTCTTCCAAGTGGGTTTGCCCCCTCAGCCTCCAGCCCTCAAGGCACCAGGACAAGAGAGAGCTACTGGAAGGTTCTAGCCAGGAAGAGTGTGGAGAGGACCTCCCACTTCTTTGCCTTGCTCTCTCTTTGTACAGAGAGCAAATGTGCATCTTTTCTTATTTTCTTCCCAAGCATCCTCCTTTGTGAATTTCTGATATCATCGAAAGCTCTCTGTAATTGGGAAGGCCCAGCTCATTCTAGAAAAACCCTCACTCAAAGCTGAAGAGACCCACATCATGTGAGTGTTTGCAAACCCATTATCCGGATGAGTTTATTACCCAGCTCCACCCAGACTGACAACTCAGTCTGCGCCCCATGGAGGAGAAAACTCACAGTTAACCTGCCGGGGTGTTTTCGGCCACAGGACCTGTTTGTGCCTCACTGGGAACCGCAGAAGGTGCCATTTAAAGGCTGTCAATTAGGTCACGCTTCCTCGAGCACTCATCTCTTGGGATTAAATCGCATCTTACCACTGACATAACATTTACACTTCCTTCTGCCAAGTTGGTAACATTAACCTTTCTTTCTAAAAGGTGTGCAGAGATGCATGAGGGAGGAGGTTGCACAAGGAGGGGAGGAAGCTGCCTTGTGGAAATATGGTTTTGGACTAAACTTCGCATGCACCAAATGCAGAATTGGCATTAGAATTAAGCCAGAAAAGTTTCAACTTGAGCTTAGCACATTTAACAATGGAAGTGATTGAAACATTCTTTAATTTAGTTTTTTTTATTTTAAAAAAAATACAGGGAATGTTCATTGTAGGGACTTGGGGTTGGAGAGGGAATGGCGTTCCCTCATGGAGAGAATCTGTCCCTCGCTCCATAGGTACTTGTTTACATTTAGGTCCTAGATGGGGTTTTTTCCATTTAAGGGGGGATCTGAGCTATCAAAGGCACATGGTGGGCAGGCTCTTGTGACTTGCAAAGGCGTGGGCAGTGAGTGAGCATGGCAGTACCACTGTGAGTAAAGATTCATGAAAAGGTGCTTATTTAGCTCCAACACAGCTCTGCTTGGATGGTCTACATCGCCTTCCTGTGGAAAAAAGTCAGCGTAATGAAGATATCAGCACAACAGGCTTTTGAATTGAATGAGAGAAGCCAGACAGCCACAGAGGCTGCAGATTTGCCTTGCCTTACCCTCTGAGTGAAACACACAAACCAATGGGGAGGAATTGATGATGAGACCCTGGATAAGCTTGCAGCTTGCACCTCAGTGTGATTTCCACCAATGAAAACCTCTCTGAGTTTTTAATTGTCCTTATCTGTAAAATGGGGAGGCAAGGCCCTCTGTAAAAGTGCAAATCGCATTAGAAAATTCTGGTGCTGCCAAAGAAGAAAACAGGAATATTCTGATTGAAAGAGCTCTGCACACAGAGAAAAGAAAGGGAACAAGGTGAGGGCTGACAGCATGGGCAAAGGGAGGCACATTAAAGACCGCAGTAGCAGAGATTTCAGAGCAGCCTCCTCACTCCAGCATTCTGACTCCAGAAATGCCCTTTCAGCCTTGATTTCCACTGTGTGCCGGGCTTGCTGCTCTTCTTCCCTCTGAGTCAGCTGAACTGCATGCGAAGGACCTGAGAGGGAGGTGGGAAGTCAGAGACCAAAGGGAGCAGCGGGCAGAGCCAAGTGGGTAGTTCTCCACGTGCTATGGCAAGGGCTCTGACTCCCCTCCTTGGCTCCCAGTTGACCCCTGAGCACAGAGATGGCTCCGTGTCCTGGAGATTAGGTTTTATTATGGAGACAGACTGGGGACATGTCAACTTCGGCTTCAGGAAGGAACAGAAGCTGGACCAGGATCTGAAGAGAGGTGTTCTCATTACGCCCCAAATAGGTTTTATAAGGTCCTGTGCAGGCACATGTCCCAGAGAGGCAGGATGCGCTTGCATACCAGTAGGGCCAGCTTTGCACACAGAAGCATCCTGGTGGAGAACAGACAAGAAAGGACTCAGAAGAGCTACCTGACCATAAATTCCAAAAAAACTGCAAACTACTTTGATCTTGAGCAGCAACCAAAAGTGAGTGATGTCCCAGAAAACAGAGCTAAGCATCCTCTCCCCATTCCACAACAATCAGACAGAAATTTGACACTGAGCAAAAACTCCTGCTAAATGAATGAATGAATGAATGAGCCCAGAGTGCACCTAGGGTGCTAGGTTCCGCTCTAAATGTGCTTTGAGAGAAACTCTAGCAAGTTCAGAAGAGCATAATTGGGATGAAGCAAAGGTAGGAAAGTGTCACATGAAGAAGAGCTGAAGAAACCAAGGTTTAACCTCGAAAGCGGAAGTCAGGGCTAGGGGCAGTCAGAGAGGAGAATTACATTTTTTATGTGTTGCTCTATGTGGATCTTCAAGGTGACATAATGGTCACATCAGCAATGTCTGAAAAAAAATCCCTGGGTTGCTGTGGGTTCTCTGTCAGTGGGAAGGTTCCTTGAAACTGACAATTATCTGGACCTCTACGAGCCTTACTAGGCATCTAAGTCTAGCATTCTAGACAGAAGTATTGGGCTATCATCCACCTAACATCGACCTGTAGGACAGGGCAAACCACTCCAGCTCCTCGGAATTCCAGCTGCTCCTCTGAATTTCAGCTGCTCCTCTGTTAAAAGGAGAAATTAATCCTTCTGGTTGTAAATCAAATCAAATTAGTTCTACAGTTTCCATCTCTGATTCATAAGGGAAACAAGCCACTGTGAAAGGGACAATGGAGATTGATTGATTGATTGATTGATTGATTGCTAGCTGGTCACTGATATCTGAAATTCCACCCATAGACATTCATTCCTGAACCTTAAAAATTCATCTCCAGTTAAAATATGAATGTTCCTGGGATAAGTAATGAATTAAACACAATGCATTACTTATCCCCTTATGAATAATTTTATTAATTTCAACAGACACAGCATATAACACAGAAAATAGGTCAGAACAAAAGGAGAAAGCACAAAAAGGAAGGCTTGAGGCTTGAGAAAAAAATTCCACTTATAAATTTTATTTAAGTTTAGCTATGTTTATAAGTCAAATAATCCTGATCGTCTTATAGATCGGTCTTATGTTCTGGGATTAAACTATTGTATTAATTTGTCTTCTGGAATCTTTTTTTACTTCAGACCTCAGATTGTGTGTATTGCTGCCTGGAAAAGGAGCTTACTGTTGTAGAAGTGGAAGAACAGACAAGATGCTGCTTTCTCTGTATTGTTCCATTTCCATTTCCTTTCCTCCCACTCAGAAACTAGTAATCTAGTGAATATAGAAGGAGACAAATAACCTTCATGTGTATTTTTAATCCAAAATGACATGATTCTGGGCCAGGGATTTAGTTCAGTGTTTCCGCAACCTGCCTCGCAAGCACAAGGACCCGAGTTCGATCCCAGGTACCAAAACAAAAACAAAACCCAAAATGACATGATTCTAAGCCCTTCACCTAAATCATTAATTATACAGGCTTCCCTAAATGTAGCATGGTATCATGCAGAAAGCATGGGTTCTACCTCTAGGAGCCACCAGAATCCTGACTCTATCTCCATATTGATTGTGTGACTTTATACAAGTTATTTGACCTTACTGAAACTCAAATTTTTCATCATCAAATGAAGGACATAGTTCCTTATTTATAGACTTGTTCTAAGGATCAAACAAGATAAACTCAGCATGTAGCAGGTCATCAAGCATTGCCGGTTAATTTTCCTTTTCTTGAGAAAATATCTAAGCTTTATCTGATGTATACATAAATTTTGCACACTATAAATATATGGAACAGTCACTTAATATATTTTATGAATGTTTTTCCACGAAGTTCCATTACAAATGATGTTTGCATTAGCATTTTTTTTGGTTACTATTTCATATACCAGTGAGTTAATATACCATAATATACAACCACCATATTATTGGATGTGGAAGTTGTAGGTAGGTAGATGGGTAGATAGATAGATTTGAAAATAGACTCAGGGAGAAAGTATAGAAAAACTTACCACAAAGAGAACTGAGGATAAGTCTCCAAGATACAATAATTTCTACTGGGCTGAGCTCTCACTCCATGGGATTCCATATGGAGCCTTTCCCATAGGAGAAGGACTATGTCTTCTGAGTTTAAATCATCCAGGGAGAGGGACCGGAGACCAGGGCTGCTTGCTTCCATGCCCAAAGCTGGATTGCACAAATACAGACAAAGAAAATAAATCAACAAAAATAGCCAAGAGGCATTTCTAAACATGTCCAACTGCAAAAATTTATGGCTATTAGCTCCTGGAAAAAAGGGCATTTCAGATAAGACAACTATTTATACAGAAAACAAAAATGAAACATATATTGATTGATTTTCAGTTGAGTCTCTCAGTCCTGGGAGAGGCATGAAGTAGGAAAAAGCCCGTTTAACCAGTTTGCTCTTTGCCAATGCCTTATCCAAGAAAAGCCCCCCACCCAAAAATAAATTTGGACTACAGAGAGTGATTCAGAAAAAGCTGAATTTCGATGTTTTATGACTATTTGGTTTTTCTCCATCTTTCTTAAGAGCAGAAAATGTTCAAAGACATAAACATTTTAAGACTTTTCCATGGCTATTAGACCTTTGAGTGCTGTGAAAGGGAGCAATGACCCATGGAGAAATTTTTCTGCCAAGGAAAGTAAGGCTTTCTTTATTAGTTAATAAAGACCTAACCCAATGCAGGTTGAATTAAATTTGTCCAACCTAACCAAAGCATTTGTTCACACAGCTGGTAAATAAGATCAAAGGAAATGATGATGATAGGGCAAATGGATAACTATGAAAGTACCCTTAATGTACTACGTATGATGCAAATGCTGGCTTAACTGAAGTGTCCGGGCCCCTGAGAGCAGGATAAGCTCATCTCAAACTACCACTCATGCCCTGTGTGATCATTAATTGCGATATGTCAACTTGACTTAAGAAATGCTTTGCAGGCTTGTAAAGCTCTGGGTGTCTGGATGACTGATATGTGAACCAAAAACTGAGGAGGGAAGACCCGCCAGGATCTAGATGGCATGAGTCAATAGGCTTGTAGCCTACATGAGATAAAAAGGGAAAGAAGAAAGAAGTTAGCTCCTTTTTCATGGAGGAGATCTGGTCCTCCCCATTGTCTTTGGACATTGATCTCCAGTCCTTTCAGGTTACCAGAGAAGACTCTTTGGCTTTCTGACATAGACCTACATTAGTAATTCTGCAGTGAGTTTCCAGGCCTTGACCTTTGACTGCTATTGAATCCTCTAGCTCTCTATCACATAGACCGCCATTTTGGAGTCTTCTGCCTCTGATTCCACAGATGGCCACTGGGACTCTTCCCGTTCTGATCCTGTAAGCCTTCCTAATATATTCCTTGTGTAAACACACACACACACACACACACACACACACCTACCTGTATATTTATATTGATTCTCCTCCTCTAGCCAATCCTAGCCAATGCACCTTGCCAAATCCAAACCCTCAGCAAAATGTTTGCTAACTCCCAGTGGGCTCCTTTTATTGTTTCTATAAGTATTGTCTGTTCTTCACTGCAGAAGTGAAACTCAAGCTTTTTCTTGATTGCTTAAAGCAACACAAAACTTTCATGCAAAGCATTCACCAGTGTGGTAGACTTTACTAAAAACAGGTTGAAGTTGTAAAGGATAGAAGTGAGTGTTATATGAGCCCACCAGGTTTCCGTCCTCAGCTGGAGCTTGGCGGGAGGTTGCCAAGCCAAAGAAGATAGGGAGGCAGTGAACAGTGGAGCCCTCCAGCATCTGGCAGGCATCTGTCCCCCAGCCCCATGCCAGCAAGGCCACTCTGCTGAGAACACATGCCCAGCCAGAGGGTTGGACCTGTTGTATCAAGGTCATCTTGATCCCCTCTGTTTATCCTCTCAACACCACTTCTGAGCAAACTCATTCCCTTTCCCACCCAGCCTTGTGCACTTTGGAACAAGTCACCTCCCTCAGTCAAATCCCAGATTGGCTCTGCCCAGGAGCAGAGCTCAGAAATAAGGCAACACAGTGTGAGAAGGAGTCCTCAAGACAAGACCCCCACCAAGCCCAACCACTGTTAAGTGGGAGCCTGTCCACTCCTGTCAGGGCTTTCCTCCCCTTCTCCCATGCTCCGTGCAGTGATCCAGTATATTTGGGGGCAGGGGCTTCCAGGTGTGTAGGCCACTTCTTCCTTTATAACCCCTTAAACAAAACAGTCCCTTGGGAAAGGATATGATAAACTCAGTTACTCTTTATATTTAAATGGCTGATAATGGCTTTATATAATTACTAGATAATTAACTCAACACAAAGCCTTTTGACTTAGGCCATAGGAATAAAGCAAGCTCCACCTACAAACATGTAAACCCTGAGGCAAGGAAGATCAGTTCATGAAGGGAAATCAGGAACTTTTAAATTAGGGGTGGGGGTCCCTGAATACACACTTTCAAGTTTTGCTTCAGGAAAAATAATACACAGAAAGTTAATCATCCATCACCTCATGTCAACATAAAATTTCATCATATCAATTTATAACCACTGAAAAATACTGAGCAGAGAACTGACTCAGTGAAACAATGCTTTGAGATTATGCTGGCTGAAACATGGTCCCTGACTTCAGCTAACTTACTAGCTAGTTAGAAAGATAACATTGACGTGACAAATAACCAGCCCCCCAGTAAGTGAGCTAGAGACTTTAAGAATAACAGACAAGCTAACAAGAGAGAGAGCTCTAGACAGTCTAGAGGACTTTGGGCAGCAGAATGTGGCTTCCTTGAGCAGATACCAATGTCCCCATACACCCTCACCCTCCACACAACTAAAACTATTTGATAAAATATTGTATGTCCCCTTCCTTACAAATTCAAGTGCAATATACTAAGTCAAAGAAGCCAAACTCAAATGGCTGCATACTGCATTATTTCATATATATGACATTCTGGGGACAGCTAGAGGAGGTGGGGACAATGGTACATGCCTGTAATCGCAGCTACTCAGTAGGCTGAAGCAGGAGGATGGCAAGTTCAAAGCCCAACCTACACAGCTTAGTGAGACTCTGTCTCAAAATAAAAAAATAAAAAGTGGGGGGATGCAGTTCCATGGTAGAGTGCTTCCCCAGCATTGCAAGCCCATAGTCTCAGTCTCTGTCACCACACACACACACACACACACACACACACATTAAATAAAACCCTAGTGGGATAGAACACTTCCCAATGATTGCCAGGGGATGGGACCAGAGAAGGACCTGTCTACATAAGGGTCCACAGGAGAGAATTTTGGAGGAGCTGAAACTCTTCTTTATCTTCACTGTGGTGGTGGATTCTTGACTATATTTGTGTCTGTCAAAATGCGTAAAACTACACTATGAACCGGGCATAAATCACACTTCAGATTTTAAAAAGTAAAAACTAATTTTTAAAAGAAACACTTTCTCTAAGCATGTTTATGAGTTGTTCAATTATTGAAGAATACTCAGGTGTCAAAAGCTACCCGAAAATAGGGGTCTGGAGAGGTTATAGAGGTCTCAAACCTGGACTGTGATTTGAGGACATTTACTAAGCCTGGTTTATGTGGTACCTCATTGTCATGGTGCCAGGACTGATGGAAGACAAAAAATAAGGTCCAAAAAAGGCATCTGTTGCAGAGAACTAGGACCTCAAAGAGTTTTGCCTTCATTTCATGGTGAATTAGAAATTCACCTGCTTTCTCTAGGTCTCCCACAGGACTATGTGAAAAGTTATTTGTTTCAAAACTTTGATGCAAAGTGAAGAAGAAAGAGAAAATTCTCCTTGGGAATTAATAATAAGAAAAAGGATATACACATTTTCAGGCTGAAGACACACTATCTCTGACGAGGAATTTAGAGTGTTGCTGAGCTAGAAAGGCCTCCCAAATGCCTGGAAGAAACTAATGAAAATTTCTTCTTGAAAGTATTTACCTTAAATTCAATTCTCACAGAATTCCCTAGGATAAATTTCTAAGAAATATGAGGGCCAAATCAGAAAATACACAATAGAACAAAGCACTAGGAGAGAAATGAGCACAAACAGCACACAGGTAAGTCTGTTCTGAAAGGAATCCTCAGTTTTGATAAAGAACCAAATACAACTTTAAAAGATAAATATTTCATGACTGTTATGGTTTGTGTCTAGATGTCCCCCTAACACCTCCAAGGTGGGGCTTTTTTAGAGGTTGCTGCACTTGAGTGTGTGATGCTGGGATTAAGGGTGTGATTACTAAATCACTCCATTGAATGGCCTTAATCCTGGTAGTTTAGAAAGTATAAAAGGGGCAGAAAGAAGCTGCTAGGGTCCCTTGCTTGCTTGCTTTGCTACCTTCTGCCCACCATGAACTGTTTCTCCTTGCAATGCCTGTCTACCATGCCGCCTTGCCTTGGAGCCAGCCTATTATGGACTAAAAGCTCTACAAACTATGAGCCAAATAAACCTTTCCTCCTTTAACTTTGGATGGCAGGTATTTTGTCTCACTAATGATAAAAATAATTAAGACAGAGAAGTGGGGTTGTTGCTGTGACTATACCTGACCAAGTGGTTTAGGAGCCTTTGGAGCTGCCTTGTAGGAAGAGAAAGAGTTAGGAAAGGGTTGGAGATGATGGCTTAAAAAGTAGAGCTGGAGTGCCTTAGGCTGAACTTGATAGTGGATTCTGGTCAGAAGTCAGACCAGGATGCTGATAGAAAAGTTACTGGTAAAGACCAGGCTTGGGAGGTTTCTTCTGTGAAGGACTGCACTGGCTGATGGACTCCAGATGATGTGTGTTATGGATTGGCAGAAAGTTTGTCTGAATTTCACTCTTGTCCAGAGACATTGCTTGAGACTGAAATTAAGGGTGGCAGACTAATTAATATTGTAGAAGAAATTTCAAGGCAGTCTAATGTTGAGGCTATGGCATGAATACTGTTGGGGACTTTTAGCTACATTTATGTTGAGAATCAAGAGCAAAGAGGCCAGTAGAATGATTTAAAATGCTGTGAGTTTAGCTGGAAAGGAAGCTCCAGTAAAGTGGAGCCTGAAAAGATGGAACAGAGGAGAAAATGGTTGCTGGAAAGACTAGCAAGAAAAAGCCAAGTATTTCAGAAAAAGACAACATAAAAAAGATGGCCTGAGGACAACACAAGGACAGCAGGACTCTAGCCTTTGAAGCCTCAAGGTTGCCAAAGTGAAAG